TTGCTCCTGGTTTCCTGGGGCTGGGGCTAGGGCTGTGCTGGTGTGGCTTGCACTGGATGGCGTTCCACTCTCACCCAAGTGCAACAGCCCCTTCCAAGTTGTCTTTGGCATTTGTGGGCTGAGAGGTCTGGGAACCATCACTGCTGCCACTAATCCAGTTGCCCCAAGGCCTGCTCCAGGTTTGCTAGGGCCCAGTCTGTACTGGCTCAGCTGAGCTAGACCACATTCCTCTCTCACTGGGTGCAACAGACTTTTCCTGCTGATCTTCCAAGTTGTCTTGGGCTGAAAATTTTTTTCACTCCATCTTTTTGTGGGTTCTGCTGTTCTAGATTTTGTTTAGCCATTTTTTAAAAGTATTTGGAAGGGTTTAGGGGAGAGCTCAGGTAAGTCCCTGTCTTTACTCTGTCTTCTTGGCTCTGCCTCTCTTTTTCTTTTCTTATTGATATTGCTTTTCCAGAACTATATCAAATAAACAGGAGGGAGAGTGGGCATCCTTGTTTCACTCTCATATTTATTGGAAAAAGTTCTGCAATTCACATTGCACACAATGCCTGTTTTTGGTTGTAGATAGATGGATTTTATGACATTAAAAATAAGTCCCTCTATGCCTATACTTTGTAGGGTTTTTAGCATGAAAGAATGATAGGTTTGGTAAAAGGCTTTTTCTGCAACTATTAACATGCCCATGTGATTTGTAATGTTTTGGTTTTTAAGATGATTAATTCTGTTATTTTCCTAATGTTGAACTATCCTTACATCCCTTGTCTGAATCCTCCTTGGTCATAATGAATTTCTTGGATAAATCGCTATACTCTGACAGGATTTTGTTTAAAATTTTCAAGTCAATGTTTATAATGATATTGGCCTAAAGTTTTCTTTCTGTGTTTTATCCTTGCCTGGTTCAAGTATCAGGACTATATTTGGCTCATAAAAGATTCTGTTATGTTTTTTTCCTCAATTTTTGAGAATAATTTTTAAAGTATGGAGACCAACAGTTTTTTGAAAGTATTCCTCTATTTCTTTTGTGTTTTCAATTTTGTTAGCATATAACTGTGTAAAATATGTTATGATTATTTTATTTTTTGTTGTGATTTCACCTTGCTCTTTTGCTATTTTATTGATTTGATTTTTTTGCTCTCTTCTGTTTAATCAGGTTATCTAAGGAATTATCAATTTCAATAGTCTTTACAAAGAACTAGCTTTTAGTATTATCATTTCTATGTTTTTTCACTTCTAATTTATCTACTTCTCTAATTTTTAATACCTTCTCTTTTGTACTTATTTTTAGGTTGGTTTATTTGCCAATTTTCTAATTTTTTAAAATGCATATTCAGTTCATTAATCTTTTTTCCATTTTGTTAATGTACGACTGTAATTATAAGGTTATAATTTTCCCCCTGAGGAATGCTTTAGTTGCATCTCAGAAATTTTGGTATGTTGTTTCATCACTATCATTTTCTTTTGCATAGTTTATTAATTGTTTCTATGATCTGTTCTTTGACCTACTCATTCTATGATTTGTTCTTTGACTTACTCATTATTTATGATTTCATTATTAAGTCTCCATATAGGTCTGTATCTTTTGTTTGTGGTCTCTGAATCAACGATGATTTTCATTGCATTGAGGTCTGTTAGCCCCCAAATTAATATAACTAATATTATATCATATAATATTAAAATGATAATATAATACAAACTATAATTCCCAATATAATATAATTCCTGACTCCCAGAACAATGCTAATTATTATAGGTATCAGAAATGATACCACCCAATGGTATGGTCCCTCCCCCACTCCATCCCCAATTACATAGCCCACCACTGATCTATACTTTCTTCTGGTTACCTCCCTCCCCCCACATTCTCTCAAAATCATCTCCTTGGGTCCATGTTCTCTCACTTCTCCAGGTGCCAACTGTCCCCACGAGTTCCAATTCCCCTCTATCAAAACAGGATGGGTAGACTTTTCAAGCACCAAATCTCCCAGGCCATACCCAGCACAAAGTCCCTATCTCCCTAAACAGACCATCTTTCTTCACCCAAAGGAATATTTATCTGTGGAATTCCCTCTTACCACCAAAGTAAGGTCTCTTTACTTTCCTCTCTTTTTCAATCCTCCCCCCCCCCCATTCCTCACCCACTCCCTTATATGTTCTTTTCTCTTCCTGAGATCACAGGGGTCACCTCTGCCTCATTGTTAGCCCTTGATTTGACCTCAGCACATCACACATTCCTCTCTATCACTCTCCACTCTCCTCCTATCAAGCTGAAATGTAGTATCACAAAAACAATGATTCATTTGTAGGCAGGTATTCCAGGTCCTACCCATAACATCCTAGGCCTGTCTCTTTATTGTTACCTCCTTTGGACTTCTACCACACATGGGTGAGGGCTTGCAACAAAATCCACCCCCACACGCTGGTCCTCACTCCCTCTTTCTATTGCTTTTTTTTTTCTGGAGGTGATCTGTGAATTCCTTCAATTGATATTTCATGTTCTTAGTCCAGAAGTTTTGGGAAATTCTCTTCTACTATTTCTTGCATTATATTGTTAAAGTTTTTTGTTCTTCTGGGAGCTCTGTAATCCTTAGGTTGTCTCTACTCACTCTATCTTCAAGATCAGTATGTTTGCTTGCTTGATGAGCATATTTTCTTTTAATATTATCACTTTTTGCTTCTCTTCTACATTGCCCTGTACATCTCTATATTACATTCCCAATCTATTGTTCTCTTTTGTTTCTTCGGTGAAATTTGCCACCAAAGATTCCAGTTTTTCTATTTTGCTCATTGTTTTTGCTGTACAGGACATAAAATCTGCTCTAAGAATTCTCATTTCTGTTTTGAGCCACTCAGAAGCAGCATGTTGTGATTCTATGTTCTCATATTCCATAGAGACCTCTGTCTCAACAAATAGTGGATTATTTTCCTTTGTTTTGCAGTATTTATTCATAGATGCATGATCTTGTTTACTAAATCTGGAAGGCATATTTCCTTTCATTTTTAATATTTTTCTTATTGATTTATCTATTTATGGTCAAGGTCTTTGAGTTCTCTTCCTCTTAAAATCTTTGTTAATTGGTCTTCCCCACCTACCCAGATTTCCCCCTATTTACTTTCTGACACTGCCTCCTCTGAAGGTAGGTTCCTTTGGGACTAGATCTTAAAGCACCTCAGCATTCTCCTATACTGGGCAGTTCACCGTTCACCAACTGTGGTATCTGTCCAACTGACTTTTGGGTGGTCAGAACTGACCCCAGCTGGATGCTGTGTTCTTTTTCTCAGGCTTGATGGAATGCTGCATAGCCCTTTCCTCTACCCTCAACACACACATGGTGTCCTGTCCTGTCTCTTGCAACTCACACAAACTTCTGCAACTTGTAGCTGGGGTCTCCATGGCAATGGAAAGAGGGAGTGAGGACCAGAGTGTGGGGGTGGATTTTGTTTCAAGCCCTCACCCATGTGTGAGGTCCTTGGGTCTGCTGGCCTTGCTGCCAGTAGCACAGGAGGTGGGAGAGGAGTGCTGAGTGAGCTCAGGATTAGTGAGCATTAGTTAATGGATTTTTAGGATTTTTTTAAAAACTGTCTTTTAGATTTTGGATATCCTAGACCATGGAGACAGATGAAGTTGCTTTATCTCTGGCACAAAATTTATGTTTTGGAGAGGATTGAGAGGTCATGGGGAGCAGAGAAAATGTGTAGTCCTCCATCTTGTTGCTCTTATGACCACCACCTTCACTTCTAAACCTTTTCCCCACTCCATTCCTTTCCTTGCTGTCTAGGCCTGTAGTTTTCGGTCATGCTCTCTGTCCCTATCCCCCTACCTAAATATGCTCCCAAATATAACATTCACACTAAGATAAAAATTACTGACAAGTACTTACCCCACCTCTGGAGTAACTGCATTTTAATAGAGAGCAAAGTAATAAACTACTAGACAGATGAAGCCCCTTAGATGATTATTTTTTAAAGAAAAAGAGGATTTCTAGCCTTCCCAAACTAAAACTGTACATATCAAAAAGGCCTAAGAAGAAAATGGATAGAGAATAAACTATAAATATAAAGACATGGTAGAAAGATGCTACTGAAGGAATGGCAGTTACTGAGTCAAATATTCAGGGAATAAAATGAATTTTATTCATTTGTATATGTTGCTTTTTCTATGCTTTGACAGATGTGAGGGCAAATATAATGGAAGTGTCATTTCACTTCACTTTGGTCTCTAAACTTAAAAGAAGTTGCATAAATAAAAAAAAGATTAGGGTCCCAACAGTCATTCATTCATTCATACCTTGGGTTTTAGTAAACAGCTTGCTTCAAAGTAGACTTATGTAGACAATATCATACTTATATAGGCCATTTAAAATTTCATCTTGAGAAATTCTCTTTTCATGTTCTTCCTGGCTTGATAGGAAAATGAAGCTGCTCTGCTATGAATTCTTAACAAATATCCATTAAGCACATGAAATGCTTTGAAGCAGAGCATTTATTATTTTGATAATCTAATAAAGATTTTTTTCACTAAAGTTCTGTTCCCATTTGAGGTGTGGAGGTAACACTGATTTCTTGAAGAATATAACAGAATATAGCTGTGGTTGCTCCTACCAAAGTGGGAAGGTTTCAAGTATGGACTGAATGCCTGTAGTTAGAGAACCAGTGTAGTCAAGTCTGAGAGAGGCTTACCACCAAGTTCCACAGGGTATATAATTTTTTAGTTAAAGCAAACCTTTCAAATTATAGAGGGGCTGTCAACTGTTTTGATGGAGTAATTATACTGATTAAATTACAGAGATTTCAAGAACTAAACCAGCTAAGTTTAAAAAAATTTAAGACTTTTTTCATAATTTCCCTAAGGATATTCTATGTTATAAATGACACTAAAATTTGGTATTGGGTACAGACCCAAAAATTGTTAAGACATTTTTAAAAATAGGAAATGAAATATTAAAATTTTTACTGTTTTTATTTACATATGGCACTAAAGTGCTAAAAAAAAAAGTTACCTGGTAGAGTTATAGACTGCCAGTGGGGTCTGATCCTTTTCTTTAGCTATTCTCATTATATCTAGGACAGCCATCCCAAGACATTCTTCCTGCGTTTCATGAGTCACAGGTACTTTGATCCATCCGTGAACAAAATCATCCCGCCACTGAAGGTGAATAAGAAGGTAGGAAAAAATGTTTTTAGTAGTTCCAGTATCACATTGTTAGCTAAAATACATTCTCCAAGAACATATATGTCTGTGAGGGAAAAATCAGTACCAATGCTTTTTAAAAATTCTGCCATAAAATTCTAGTGACATGTGTTTCATTTCAGCAGTAGAACATCTGATTTTAAATAGGGGTTCAAAAAAGATACAGAAACAGCTTATTTCAGTCCATACACTTGCAATACTGAAATGGCATTCATTTACTAAATACTTACTAGATACCTAATGTACAAGGCACTATTGTAATTAGTTTTGCTCTTTCCATATATTTTCCCATTTTATCCTCAAAACCTGTCTGGTAGCTGCTACGATTATGCTGAGTTTATAAATCAGGTTAAGAGACGTAATGACTTGTCCAGGGTCATAGTTTGCAAATGCCTAGAAGCTGTATTTGAACTCAGGCCTTCGAGTACTCTATCTATCCCCTCTGCCATACTGCCTCCTAACAAAGTGTACCACAAAGTAAAACACTCAGTCCTTGCTTTCAAAGAACTTACTGCTCAATTAGGAAGATGAGATGTTTACATTCATCACCCCAAGACACAGCAGGATACATTGCATAATAATAGTATACATTTCTTTACTATGTTAAGGTTTATGTACCTCAGTCCTCAAGTCAATATTATAAGGTAAAGAAGTCCTATCAAATTCCTTTTATAACACAAATATGATTTTGTTACCTGAGCCAGGGAGATCAAAAACAGAGAGAGAAAATGATAGGCCTATTTCCCTAAAGAATATCGATGGAAAATTTTTAAATAATAGCAATAAAATGAAGTAATATATCAAAGATCATATAAATCCCCAGGTGGGATTTATACCAAGAATGTAGGACTGGTTCAATAATATGAAAACAATCAGCATAATTGACCATATCAATAACAAAACAACAAAAATCATGTGATTATCTCAACAGATATAGAAAAAGCCTTTGACAAAATACAACACTTATTACTATTAAAAACACTAGAAAGTATAGAAATATACTTTCTTAAAATGATAAATCAGTAATTATCTAAAACCAAGAACAAGTATTATTTGTTATAGGGATAAGCTAGAAGCATTCCCAATACAATCAGGGGTAAAGCAAGAATGCCCATTATCATCATTATTATTCAATATTGTACTGAAAATGCTAGCTACAAACATGACAAAACAGGAAAATGATAAATGTTGGAGAAGATGTGGGAAAATTGGAACACTAATGTATTGTTGGTGGAGTTGTGAAATAATCTAATCATTTTGGAGAGCAATCTGTAATTATGCCGAAAGGGCTATAAAAATGTGCATACCCTCTGACCCAGCAATAGCACTCCTAGGGCTGCATCCCAAAGAGATCATAAAAATGTACATGTACAAAATGTTTACAGCAGCTCTTTATGTGGTGGCAAAGAACTGGAAATTGAGGGGATGTCCAGCAATTGGGGAATGGCTGAACAAGTTGTGGTATATGAATGTAACGGAATACTGTCGTGCTATAAGAAATGATGAGCAAGCAGACTTCAGAAAAACCTGGAAAGACTTGTATGGACTGATGCTGAGTGAAGTGAGCAGAACCAGGAGAACACTGTATATAGCAACAGCCACATTGTGTGATGACTAACTTTGATAGACTTAGCTCTTCTCAGCAATGAAATGATCCAAAACATCTCCAAAAGTCTCATGATGGAAAATGCTATCCACATCCAGAGAATGAACTATGGAGTCTGAATGCAGATCAAAGCATACCTTCTGCTCTTCTTTTTTTTCTTCTGTTTTATTTTGTTTCTACTTTCTTGTGGTATACTATTTGCTCTCTGTTTTGTTTTGTTTTTTCTTTCTCATGGTTCCTCCTTTTGGTTCTAATTCTTCTTTACAACATGACTAATGTGAAAATAGGTTTAATAGGAATGTATATGTAGAGCCTATATCAGACTGCATGCTATCTTGGGGAAGGAGGAGGGGGGAGAAAATTCAAAACTCAAAAGCTTATGGAAATGAATGTTGAAAACTAAAAATAAATTAATTAATAAAAAAAGAAAATGCTAGCTACAGCAATAAGAAAAGAAAAAATAAAATGAAGGAATGAAAATAGACACTAAGAAAGAAACCTATCACTTTTTGCAGATGATATGATAGTATATTTAGAGAACCCTAGAGAATCAACTAAAAAAGCTGTTGAAACAATGAACAACTTCAGCAAAATTTCAGGATATAAAATAAACCCACGTAAATCATCAACATTTCTATGTATTACTAACAAAATCCAGCAGGAAAAAATAGAGAAATTCCACTGAAAATAACTGCAAACAATATAAATTGGGAGTCTACCTGCCAAGATAAACCCAGTGACTCTATGAACACAATAACAAAATGCTTTTAATACCAATAAAGAAAGATTTAAATAATTGGTGAAATATTCACTGTTCATGGGTAGACTCAGTCAATATAATAAAAAAGACAACTCCACCTAAATTAATTTACTTATTCAGTGCCATACCAATCAAAGTACCAAAAATTATTTTATAGAGCTAGAAAAAATTACAAAATTAATCTGGAAGAACAAAAGGTCAAGAATATTGGAACTGATTTTAAAAAAAGTGAAAGAAGGTTGCCTAGCATTTCAAATTGTACAGTAATCATCAAAACAACCTGGTACTGGCTAAGAAATAGAGTGGTGGATCAGTGGACTAGATTAGGTACACAATACACAATAGCAAATGTAATTACACATAGTACTCTAGTGTTTGATAAATCCAAAGATTCAAACTTTGGGGACAAGAACTTCTCATTTGACAAAAATTGCTAGAAAACTAGACAGCAGTTTAGCAGAAACTAGGCACAGGCCAACATCAGACAACTGATAGCTCACTTAAGAAAAGACAAGACAGGCCAGACAGCAAAGGAAATGACTTGGGACAGTGGATAGAGTGCTGGGCCTAGAGTCAGGAAGACTCATCTTCCCGAGTTAAAATTTGTTTCTTCTTTCTCGTGGTTCCTCCCATTAGTTCTAACTCTTCTTTACATCATGACTAATGTGAAAATATGTTTAATATTAATGTATAAGTAGAACCTATATCAGACTGCATGCTATCTTTGGGAGGAGGGAGGGGAGGGAGGCATAGAAAATTTAAAACTCAAAATCTTATGGAAGTGAATATTGAGAACTAAAAACAAATTAATTAATTATTTTAAAAAAGGAAGTAAAAATGAAAAAAATTCAATTTTTAATCTAGTAAATAAGTTAACTTGAGCCATGGTCACAAAATCATGTAATGAAATTCAATTGAAGGGGAACATGGAGTAAATATCAGATATTTTTTGTAGCATAAAAGTGAGAAAGAATGGAAAATTTTTTACTTGCCAATGGCCATTAACTTGCTAAGTCATCATGCACATTTAATTAAGGGAGAAATAAGTCCCTTGAAGAAGTTGAGCAGAATTATATACTGAGAAAAGATTAGGTCATTTGTGGCTACTACTTTACTTTCCCAAATTTGGTTTCCTAAAGAAAACTGGAAAGCCTCTGACAAAACTGAAAGTGTATTTGTTTTTATGTACTCTGAGGAAAATACCATACAATGAAAAACACTCAGGTCTTTGGGTCTTTGAATTATTCAAAGATGTTTAGTTAGCCCTTCACTGATTCCACTAAGGTAGCCTTACTTGCTGCAGGCCGTGGGCACTGATGCAATTTGAGGATGACTGGATTATCTTATTTCTTTTACAAAGCAAAGATAAGAGGAAAGTCATAAACACCATCAACAACCAGGAAATACATACGAGGCCATTCAAAGACTCACTTTGGAGTTTTCATTATGAAGTTACAATGCCAAGTTATACTTCAGTTCCTCCCCCAAAACTGATGACATCTGCCATGGCTTCTTAGACAAAAGTGGGTAGTGGAAAGGGCTTTGTCTTGGCACTAAGAACAGACATCTGGGCTCTACTCCCACTTCTAGGATTTACTAGTTCCATGGCAGACCACTTTGCCTCTGTGAACCTCAGTTTCATCATTTGTCAAACTGGGATTAACCACAGTATTATTGTGAGAATCAAATGAATAAAGAATGTAAAGAACACTGTAACCTTGGAGCACTAAATGCCAAATGTTATGATTGAGTACTAAACATTTCAACTTTCATAACTGCCTAATATAGCCTGACAATTACAGCTGATGACATAGTAGAGAGAGTGCTGGCTCTGGTATCAAGAAGACCTGGGTTCAAATCCAGTTCCAGACACTTCCTCACTGTGGGACACTGGGCAAGTCACCTGACCACTGTTTGCCCATTTTCTTCAACTGTAAATTGGGGATAATAATTGCATTTACCCCACAGGGTTGTTTTAATACTAGGCTTTCTAAAAATGCTTATTCCCTTTCCTTCTCTCTCTCCCTTAGCTTTCCAGTAACTGCCAGCTAAAAAGCTATGAACGCCACAACAGCAGGAAAAGAACCATGAAGAACAATGACTCTGCTATAGGCCATTACCAGAGACTAAAACAAATATGTCCAGTGGGACTAAGGAGAGGAGTATGAATCTTTGTTAACTCCTTGGTTTTCTACCAGTGCCTCTTGGTGACCTGCCTGAAAAATACTATTATATCTAAGTTACTCTCATAGTTTTTCTTAGTCTATTTAATTTTGTCTTCACTCACACTAGTTCATCAGATATCAGAAAAAATAAATTTAAGCTATCAATGCAAAAACATTTGAATTAGTTTTTTAAATTCAAGACAGTAGATAGTGAAAAGTACTAAGCAGATAGTGCCATAGAATAAACACTGGTCCTGGAGTCAAAGGACCTGGGCTAAAATCCCATTTCTAACAATGAGAATAGGACTTCTAAAATCCCACTTCTACCTGAGTGACCTTAGTCATGTTGACTAAAGCCCTCAATTTCCTCATCTCTAAAATGGGGATCTTAGGCTAGACGGCCTCTGAGCAACCCTTCTGCTCTAGATCTGCGGTCCTAGTAATGACCCTCGTTTACACGTAAATATAATACATTACTAATGAATGTGACAGGTACAACTTTCAGAAAGCCGAATGAGCCGTTCATGAATTTCCATACAATTCATAATTTTATGTGTCTTACATTTTACTACCCATCCTTTAAATGCCCAAGAAGCATGAGGGATTATCTTGGTGGAAAAACACAGCTCCTAAAATGTTTCACTGTCTCATTTTCAACCATTTGGAAAATAACTATGTGAATCCTCTATATGAGTTTGAAGATAGATTGCTGCAAAATCCAGACCACCTTCTTTTGGGACCCTTCTTAAAAGTCTCCTATGTGTTAAAAGAAGTGGGGCAAAAAAGGACAGAAACCAGAAAATCAGATGCGGAACCAATTCAATGAGTCTTAGTAGACTATGTGAAAATGTATTCTATTATCTACAACTTTCAGGCAAAAAATAAAGCCAGTAATGTACTACATCTGTGGACTAAGGCAGGTGCCAATTTTGCTTCTGTATGAAGATGGTTCTGATTAAAGAACATGCAAAAGAAAAAGTTTATGAAATCACAAAAAATGCAGAGACAAGGGGAAAAAAGCATACCTGAGCAAAAAGGTATGACATGACAAAGTCATCGAGAAGTGGGGCTTCTGCACCTCGAGATATTCCATACCGATATGTTCTATTACTTCCATTACAATACCAACGAGGAAAGTAAAACCTAGAAAAAAGACAATTAATAGCAGTGAGTTCACTTTCAACTAATATGACGACAGTTAATATCTCAATTCTTTGAAAAACAGAATCTTTTATTTTAAATTGTACTAGTACAAGTAGATATGAATAATTGTATATTATGAATAATAATGATAATTTTAACCATAGTTTTTAAAGCTGTACCTTTTAGGAGGGTATCTGAGAAGAAGTAGGTTGGATGAGAAAATGTCAATCTAGTTAGAAAATCTGAAGAACATTTATGAGCACAAGTATTACCAGGACTTTAATAAACTTAAGAGTTGGAAAAGACCTTAGAGATTATCTCGGCCTTAAGGCCACCTATAGGTCCTCAAGTGCGGCCCTTTGACTGAATCCAAACTTCACTGAACAAATCCCCTTAAGGGCCCTAGAGGGCCACATGTGGTCTCAAGGGTGCCCTAACTAGTCCAACCCATTCATGTGAAGAAACTGAGGGAGGTTAAGACCAAAACCACACAGGAAGTAAAAGGTAAAGGAGGGATTTGAACTCAGGTCCCACTACCTAAACTACAAGTTCAGGACTCCAGTGATTTTTCTCCTGCAAATTTTGTGAATTAGTTAAAAAAAATTCTGGGATTTACAACATAGATAACTATAAAAATGGTTACCTTTTTGTTCTTTGCCAGACATGCTATACTGTTTCTAAATGTACAATCTTTAAAGTAATGGCCAGAAGACTAAGGTGCAAGACCTAACTTATGTGAATATAAATGTCAAGGGAGATCTTGAGACATTTCTAGCAATCCTTGAAATCTCCTCCCCTCTCTGCTTACTGCTACCTGGAATTCCACACATAACAATCTCTTTAGTTTAAAATTTTGATCACAGTTGATAAATGAATGCTTTTAAGATACATAACACTTGAAAATATTATCATTCCAAGGAAATGAAGGACTTGGGAGTAAACTGGAACAGGGGAAAGAAAGGATGAAAGGAATTAAGAGAGAAAGAGAAAGAAAACAGGAAAGATAAAGAAAGAAGAAAATACTGCCTTAGAGTACTGAAAAATTCCATCTCCTGTCTATGTGTTCCCTCATGTCTAGAAAACAATGCTTCTTTATTTTTCCCTCTCAAAATTCTTTTCCTTCTGGGTTTAGCTCAAGAGGCACCTCCTCTCTATAGCCTTCTCTGATTCTGGCTCTTAACTACCATACCAGCTGCTTGGTGCCCTCTTTGTCTGGCTCCAGAGGGCAGAACTAGAAGCAATGAGAGTAAGCAAATTTAAGTCTGATACAAGGAGAAAACTCCCTAAGAATTAACCATGCAAAAATGGAGCAGGCTGCCTCAGAAGGTAGTATGTTAGCCTCCCCGTCAAGCAAAGATTGGTTGTCTGCTTCTCTGGTACTTGTAGATGAGATTCTTTAGCAGGTGTGGCTCATAGCAACATAGTTAGAGATAAAAATACACATTCAAAGTTATCTAGTTCAAGTCCCTCATTTTACCATTGAGGAAACTAGATAGCCAAGAGGGCCTTTCTGCTCTGAGGTTTGGTGACTACTCAAATTATCTTATATTACATTCATTTACATGTTGTATTTCTCCAGTAGAATGTTAACTCCTTAAGGGGAAGACCTCTTTTGTATATTTGTGTGCTCAGTACCTTGTACACAGTAGCCACTTATTAAATATTGTTTACTTAACTGAACTGAGAGAACAAGAAGGGTGTGGAACCAAACACTCACTATGTTTAAGGCTGGATCTATGAAACAGTTACCACCTATGAGATCTTAGGTGAGTAATTTAACTTCTCTGGGCTTGTTTCCAATGGTAAAGTGAGACATTTGGACTAGATTTGAAGTCCCATCCAACTTTAAATCTATAATTCTCTAATCCTAAATTCTCTTAAAAAAAAAGTGATGTCACTATTATTGTTATAAGTTGTTCTTATACATGCTAATTTAACATTTTACAGATTTTTTTAAAATGATGAGCTGATTTATTCAAAGAACATAAAAACTACTGTTTGCTAAAGAAGTTGCAGAATTCTAACCTTACACCATTAATACTTTTGATAGAAAGCATTTAGTATCTACTTGCAAATGTTGTGATTATAGAAGCTTCTTCCAATAATTTTGTTGTTGTTCTGTTGTTTCCAGCCATGTCTGACTCTGTGAACCCATTTGGGGTTTTCTAGGCAAAGATACTGGAGTGGTTTGCTATTTCTTTCTCCAGCTCATTTTACAGATGAGGAAACTGAGGCAAAAGGGTTAAGTGACTTGTCCAGAGTCACACAACTAGAAAGTGTCTGAGGACAGACTGGAACTCAGGAAGATGAGTCTTCCTGACTCCAGGCCCAGCACTCAACTGTGCCACTCAGCTGCCCAATAATAGAAGTTTATATTCCACAAAATAAAAATGCCAAAATGAAAGCCTGTTTTCAGTCATTTTCATAATGAAATTTTATTTTAGAAATCTAGCTTTGAAACAGTGTCCCCTTTTTTTTTACTAAACACAAATGATATCAATCACATGAAAAGAAATACAAACTCCCTCAATAATGCTGATTTTATAAACAGTGCAAGTCATAGAAGTTCCAAGACACAAATCTAAGTTATCTTATATGTGCATATGTGTGTGTGCTGAACACATAGGGGTGCTCATTGAATTGTGTATATGTTTATATATGCATGTACCTATTTGTGTTTATAAACACATACGTACTTCATTCATTCAGTAATTACTTACTAAGTGCCAAGCACTATTCATACAAAGACAGAAACAAGATAGCCTCTGCTCTATTAAATATGAACAAAGAAAAATATGCAAAACAGATATAAAACAATTTCCATGGGAAGGGCAGGAGCAACTGGCAGAATAAAGAAGCTAGGGATCGATCCTCTGAGATGAAGTAAGTGAACTTCAGGAATGGGGGTGGGGAGGGGAGGGATGTAGCCTATGTATAGGCACGGAGACTTTTTCACCTCTAATTTGACAGTTGACATGCCTGACCCCCTCATCCCTGCTAGACATTCTCTAGTTTATTATGTCTCCCTGATAGCATATAAAGCTCCATGAGAGCCTGAGTTGTTTAATTTTTGTCTTTGTGTCCCCAAGATCTAGCTAGATTCCTGGTACATGGCAAGCGCTTATGAAAGGACGGATTGATTGATTACATCTTTGTCCTCTCATTCCCAGTAGAAAGTAAGCTAGATGAAGTTAGCAACTGTCTTTTTAAAAATTCTGAATCCCCAGCTGCTAGCACAGCTTCTAGTGCAGAGTGGGCATAAATAAGTGCTTATTGAATTCAGCTTAGATGTCTAAAAGACATCTGCTTGGAGAGGTCCATTAGAGAGTTGTTCACATGAGTCAGCAAGATGAGGACAGAAATTACGGTTGAATATGTAGATCTCAGAGTTGTAGATACACAATGTCAGATTTTGCTAAATAGTGTGTAATGAATCCTACTTGAATTTAAAATAGCCAAAAACCTATCTTTTTCTCATGAATAACTAACAAAAAATTACTTGCTCTGAAAAAGGAAGGTCCATGTGGAATTTTATTTTATAATTCAAAGAATTTGTTTTTATGGCAAATGTTCTTTATCCTGTGAACTTTCAGCACCATTATCTGTCCTTACCAGGTTATGTTTCCACAACTATAGTCATAAATGTTGAACCCTCAGTCACCTCCAAAATACAATTAGCCACAAAATTTGATTCCTAGAGAATTCAAATTAACCAACCTTTTACTGTTTCACACAAAGGGGATTAAGATCTGATTTGTTCTCTGTTGGCTTAGTACCTTAATTTTTGTAGTTAATTTAAAAATTTGTCATTCCCCCTCCCCACTTCTCCTCCCCATCACATAAAACATTTCACTACCTTATTTGAAAAAGTACCTTATTCGGTAGAGTACATTGAATCTGGTTGCCTCATCTACATGGAAGACATAGTTGGGAGGATACCAGATCCTCTCAGTTTCACTCATTAAAGCAAACATATTATGATAGACAGGTGTGATACCTAGGGAAAACAGAAAAATGATTATAGCTATTGTTCAATATAAATATGAAATAAAAAGTACATATGTTTTAAATTTCCAATTAGCAGTGGTGAAATGTGCATACACTAAAAGTACTTAAAAGACCAAATATTCATCATTCAGGAAACTAGCATGACAGTCAATGGCAGCTCAAATTGTCTCAAATACCACTAATTTTCTGCATTCTATTGTATACAAGGGAAAACACAGGAATGGGAAGCAAAGTTTAACCTATGGTTGCATTTAAAATTGGATAAAAGAATGGTCTAGTGTCTGATTTTTCTTCCCCTCAAGTAATAATTGTTTTTGATACACAATAAAAAAAAAACTCTAGGATGAAGAATATATTGCTCTGATAAGAAAAGAGATGAGAGGTAAGAAAATATACTTTTACAATTGATTAAAGCATTAGTAAATTGCAATAACCTTAATATGACAAAAACATGAATTTTATGGTTTCATTTTATTAAGATTAATCACAATCTCCTTAATATATTCATAAATGAAATAGTCATTTTTAATTCTGTTTAAACCTATAACTGATATAAAAGATTCAAGGACAATCCATTAAATATAAATATGAAATCACAGAATTACAATCAAGGCAGATATCATTGTAATATAGATTTAAGAATACAATTTAAATATTGCACAGAAAAACATTTTTGCTTGTTATTAATGTACATTGAGGTTACTTTGTATATAGGTAGTCAAATTATTTTAAATATATATTGTCAATATAATGAGCTTTTCCAACAAGGTTCCAAAAAGAGTGGTAATATATCTTAAGATGAGAGTATATAATTTATGTGACTGACAAAACAGAGCCTATTCTAAATACAAATATAGATGATGGGGGTTGAGTGGGGCGGAGAGGTGTATATATCTCTTTAAATTACTATGATAGATAACACAACATAATACTAATCACCACCGCCACCACAAATTTGTTGATAGCTTTAAGGATTGCAAAACATTTTCCCCCAGAAATCCAAGTTTGATTATCCTTATCTTCCAGAGGAGGAACTTGGTTTCTAAGAAGTTAAATGACTTGCCCATGGTCAGAGAGATCTAATGTCTAAGCAAAGACAGAGAGGTCTCTGGGGTAACAAAGGTTATGACATTGGACTACAAATCTGGCATATTCTAAAAAGTCTTTGAATAAGGTTCAAACAGCAGGATATTTTTTTTAAGGACCAGCCCAGGCAAGTGTAGAGAAGTTTCTTACTAGAAGGCTGAACATGAGGTTATCAACTTTTTGGTCACACTAAATGGCCCTCAATCCTGTGTGACTCTTCTACTTCTGGAAATGAGTGTGAAATGGTATTTAAAAAGCACAAAAAGACTCTCAAAACCACAAATTTAACATCTACAAATCTTAATTTATTTGCTGGTACTCAACATGACTTCTTTGCCCAATGAACAAGTTAGCACACTACTTAAGGAAATAAATCACATCCACGTTGATATTCTTGTAAAAGATAAAACCTATAACATACGCAAGTTGCTGGTAAATGGAAGGATAGCTCTCTGTTTCTCCTTATATGGGGGGGGGGGGAAAGGTGTTGATTTCATCTTGTATCCAAAGGCAACAAGAAATATAACTTCATGGGACACATTCTCTCCTTGCAGCAATCCTGATGAGAATAAGCGAACCAAAAAGATAACTGTGGCTCACATGTACATGCCTGTACTCACTCCAGATTTCTTCTCTTCTTCTTCACCCTTTATTTTCTGTCTCCTCCCCACTTTCCAGCTCTCCCATTATCTTGTCTTCTCCATTAGAATGTTGTTCTTCCTTCATTTTTGAAGATCAATGATATTATGAATAACTGATGTCTTGACTTGCATGTGAATTGGATTTAAGTGAAGCAAAGTGACACAAAGTGTCAGCCTCACTCTCTTCTTCAGGCATCAATGTCCAGTGACAAGACAAAAGTCAGGACAAATAGTGACAGCCTAGGATGCAGTGGATGACCTTGGTATTTTCAGTGTCTTACCAACTCTAAGCACTCCATCTGCCCATTCAATTGGGAAAAGTCTTCATATGCTTGGCATAGGCATCCCTCTAACTCAACAACAAATTTAAAGCCTGTCAACTACCCTCCATTAGAATATAAACTCCTTGAAGGTAGGGATTATTTTGTTTTCTTCTATTTGAATCCTCAGAACTCAACTGAGTCAAGTCAATAAGCATTTATTAAGCCTTTACTACGTGTACTGTTTTTACCTTTCTGTGGGAATATAAAGAAAGACAAAAACAGTTTCTGCCCTCAAGGAGTAAAGTGGAAGTGCCTGGCACATAGTAAATGATTACTCTATCTACTACATAATTAAAAAGAAAAGCACATGGTAGATAAGAGGGAACTACAGTTTCAAGTACGTCCTTTTCCTGTTCTACAATGCATATGAAAATGGCTGTTTTATTTTGTGCTGTTAAAAACAGAATAAATTCTTTTTTAAAAAGGAACACCTGATATATTTGTCCAGAAGATGTTCATCTGTATTTTCTACTTCTTAAAATTTAGTTTCTTTGGGCAGTTTTCAAAACTAGAAATCAAAACTTTATTTCCAACTGAAAGGGTACCTGGGAGAATAGAGTGCTTTGCTGGGGGTGGGGGGTATTTACAACTTCAAAAGTGTCTGCTAGGGCTTTTCCTTAAAAGAAAGCTTTTAATGCACATGAGGGTACCTTACGCTTACCTGAATTCATCCTCAGTTTTTTTTTTTGTTTTAAGTAACAGTCTGCAAATTTAGGCTATCAACTGAAAAACTTTAATTTGTACTTCATTAGATTTAAGATAATTTGATAAGGGAATGGTTTTACTAAGCAAAATGATGATGCAATGAATATTGTAAGATAAATTATTGTTAACTATATACACATTGGCAATATCATTACTATTCAGCAAAGTGAGTTTAACTGATTATTTTGTAAGTAGGGAGAAAAGTGTATGAAAATTGTCAAGGTAAAAGGAGACAAGGTTGTGAAGGATTTTAAGGACTAAACAGAGGATTTCATGTTTGACCCTGGAGGTAACAGGTGGCCATTGGAGTTTATTGAGTAGGGGGAAGAGAGTGCTTTAGGAAGATCACTTTGCCGGCTGAGCACAGGATGGATTAGAAAGGGGAAAGATGAGGCAGGGAGACAAACCAGAAGGCTAGTTCAATACTCTAGACAAAAAGTGATGAGAACCAGTGCCAGGGTGTCAGCAGTGTGAAAGGAAAAGAGGGGATATAAAGAGATGTTGTGAAGATGGAAATGATAAGACTTGATTACAGATTGGACATGTGGGGTGAGTGGAGGAGAGGAGATGAATATGACACTGAGGTAATGAGCGTAGGTGACTGGGAGGGCTGGTGACGCCTTTAACAGTAAGAGGGAAATTCAAAAGAGAAGAGGGCTTGGGTCAAAGATAATGAGTGCCAAAGTCTATGGCAGGCGGCAAATAAATAGAGAAACTCTACAAAAAATAACTTGCAAATTAAATCAACTTTGATATTCAGTGACTTTAATGTAAAAGTGGGCAAAGAGGCTCAGGATCAAAAAACATAAAAAGCCAAATGTTTATGCTACACAGAAGTCTGCATTTAAACAGCGTAAATATTTTCTATTTTGAAGCAAATTTTTATTGACAATCTTTTGTTTTTACATCACCTGTATCTCTCCCCTTACTTCATCCCAGAATTCTATCCTCTCATATAACAAGGGATTTTTAAAAATTAAATCTAAATTTTAAAAAAAGTCAAAGGAAGGAGAATAAAAATCAACAAAACTGATCAATACATAGAAAAAAAATCTGAAACACTTCTACAAAGGGATGAGGGGAGGTGTTTTCCATGAACAGTTTCTTTTTAGAAGAGAGGTGATACATGTTAGACATGGTGAATACCAACTGGAGGGTGGGAGAAGAGATATCAGACCTACAACACAGATGGCATACAGAATTCTGATGAAGAAACTCCATGGACAAATGCAAATTAACATCAACTCTGTAATTTAGTCTTAGAGAGGTTAAATGATTTTCTCAGGGTCACACAGGTATTATACATAAGAGATGGTACTTGATGGACTTTGAGGTCAATTCTCTACCACTCTCCCTACACTTCCTCCAAACACCAAAGTATATCACAGAAAATGAAAACGAATATATCTTGGACAGGAAAAGAATGGTTCTAGATGTGGGTGTTACTTTTGAATAATCTGTATATAATAAGACCACTACTTTGTTAGAACAAAGAGCAAAATCAGCACTAAATTAGAAGATAAAAATGGGAGGATATGAAGAGTGAACAAAGCAGCTCTATTTTGACCCATTTTTAAAAACAGCTTCAACAGAAACAGATAAATGGATAATGAATAAAGAAATAGATATTTCCTGGGCCTATCACTATTTCTTACATTAATTTGACATTTTGGCAACTGACCCAATGAGGTGGCCAAAAAAGCCTAGAAACTCACCTCAGCCAGCAAACTCTTGATCTTCTTGTTAAACAGAGAAATATAGCAGTTGAGAGCAACACAGATTTAGATTATAAACTCATTTGTAAAAAATATTAAGCAGTACAAAGGTGGAAGATTATGAGTAGCATCACTTCCAATAGGGAGAAGTGGTGTAAGAAAAACTAATTTTACTGAAAGTTTGGTATGAGATTCAAATAAGCCAAACTATCTTAATCCCATTTAAAAATGAAACTGGAATGGGAGAAATGGAGGAAAATGGAAAATATCTGTTATTTCAATAACAAACTGTTGCATATCAACAACAGTAGAACTACTACATGTCAGTTCCAATATCACGGTCCCAATGTGTTGTATGAGGAAGCACTAAAGAAAACCAAAACAACTAAAATAGTCATACTGAGTACTGAGAGAAGGGTCTGTGCTAGAGGCAACATGATTTTAAGGTCACTGATTTTAAGGACAAATATCTATATATATGAAAGGAGGGAAAATACTAAATGACTGGGGGAAATGACAGATGTTATTTATACTAAAAAATGGTGACTGTGAGGATACTAATAAATTTAACCCATAAGCCTACTTTCACATCTCTATAAAATCTCCACGAGAAAATATTATCAAACCCTGCAGAACTGCAGAAATCTCTATGACTCAAAAGAACAAAAGCCTAAATAACAACTTAAGAAAAATCAAGTGGTTGAAAAATGTCTATTGTTTGTCCAGAATGTGCTACATATAGTTGAATGGACCATCTATTGGATGTGGTTCCCCCATTAGACTATAAGCTCCTTGAGGACAGGTACTGTCTTTTGCCATTATTTTGTGTCCCAAGAGCTCAGCACAGTGCTCAGCACATAACACAAGCTTAATAAATTTCACTGAATTGAAATGAATTTGGTCCTCATATACAAGTAGGCAATTCTCTGCCTCATAGTGTTGTCTCCTGTCTTCATGGCTTTACTTGCAAGCCTGGAATACTCTGAAATACTGCCCATTCTTCAAGATCCAGATCAAATCACATCTGTCAGAAAATTTCCACTATTCCCCTACCTCATATCCCAATCTCAGTTGAAAATTACCTTTCTCTCCTTAGACTTTGTATAATTTAAGCCTATATTACATTATTATATTAGGTTACGAGGAACAAATGAGATAACACGAAAAGTGCTTTGCAAATCTTAATGAACAACATAAAGGTCAACTATTATCACCATTACTTTCTATTCAGTATCATAATTAGTATATTTACTATACAGTTACCTAATAATATGTCTATATTTATTACCTTCCCTCTATCCTGAACTAACAGCTCTGTGAGAGCAAAGATGTGTCTTAATCCACTCCAGTGATCACTTACTTAATCTATATTGTATCTATCTTGGCAAAAAGCCATTTAATATAAAGTTGTTGAATGTTTAATAAATATCCCTATTTCTTACTGTTATCAACATAGCCATCTCCAACAGTTCCTGTATCTCACACCTCCAAATCTGGGGTAAGCAAGCTTATTCTTCAACAAAGTGAAACTATGGCCCCCACGGATTAAGTGACTTGTTCAATGTCACACAGTTAGTAAAGAGAACAGCAGGGATTTGAATTGAAGACCTCCAAATCCTATACTCTATATTAACACACTTAAAGTGGTTGTCTATTAATTGTCTCTTTTATACTTACCACAAGCTTTACAAGCAGCAATACAAATTTCCTCAGCAATATATTCCCCAACTGGAAACTGTAAATAATCTCCTTCAGCCTTCCCAAGAGAGTGGTAAAGATAGACCTGAAGAACTGGCTCTATCTGTTTCAAAGTATCATCATTCCCAGGAATATCTCCATTTTGGTGGGTAGAAGATGTGGCTGATCCCTCCATTTCTGTCATGGTGAGGCAAGCCATTCCAGTGCTGAATTTTCTTTAGTATATTTGCCTTTAAGAAAAAATAAATAAAATCACAAATGAAACCAATATTGCTAATGCTATCTTTGAATACAAACTCCTTGAAGACAGTCTAATGTCATAATCAAATCATCAACCTTTAGTTAGCAAGGCACGGAGTTACTAAAGAACAATTAGGCTTTATCTTTAATCTGCCCTCAAGGGGCTTACCTACTAGCTGGAGAGATATAAACATGTAAAATGGGGGGGGGGGAGTTTTAAATAATAAATAAAACAACAACAGAAGAAATGTCACAAAGATAGGTTGTGACTGTCATATACAGACAATGACTGTCAATGGTTAGAGGAGGAAGAGAACTTTAGGTTGACGTGCTTTCCTTTGTGAGCAAACAGTTTCAAAGAGTGTAAGATATTTGAGAATATTCGTATAAAGTCAATCTTTCTTCCTAACCTAAAAGGCATGAAAGGGGAAAGAAGGATGCCAAAAAAAAGAAAGTGAAGATGAATTAGATGTTGCTAGAACAGGAAAAAAAAACTGAATTAGCAATAAACTTTTAAACCATACTTGGAAGGCTATGTGTTAAATAGAAAGAATACAGTTGCATTTAAAAGTGATCATAAAAGATAAAATTGCCAATTTGGCTTAAATAAAATGTAAAAAAAACTTTGCACAAATAAAATCAATGCAGCCAAGCCAGGAAGAGAAATTTGCAGCTGGATAAAAATCTTTACATCAAATATGATTAAAATCCAGTATCCAAAATATATAAGGAATTGGCATAAACTTACAAGACCAGATCCTTACCCCAACAGAACAAAGGATGTGATCAGAGAGTTTTCAGAAGAAATGCAAATGATCAAAAACCACATGTTTTAAATCAAATACAAGAAATATAAATTAAAATAATTCTGATTTTTAATATAATACCCATCAAAATTAGCAAAAAATAAAATAAATAGCCATAATCACTGATGGACTAGCTTGAGAAGATATATTAATACATTCATGGTGGAATTAAAAATTAATTCAAACATTCTAGAAGAAAATGTGGAACTATACTAGAAAAGAGACTAAACATTTCAGACCCTCTGACCCAATATTTCTAAGCATTTAACCTAAGGAAGTCAAAGACAGAGGGAATGTAAACAGAAATATTTTTATTAGCACTTTTTTTGTGGTAGCAAGAAACTAGAAACAAAATGAGTACTTGTTTGTCTCAATAAACGAGTATATAAATGTTACCAAATGTTCTTATGTCATAAGAAATTATACACATGAAGATTAAAGAAGCTTAGAAAAATAGATACAAAGCGATTGAGAGTAAAGTAAGCAAAAGTAAAAGAACAACTTAAACAATAAACACAATAATGTTGCAAACTAAAATGACACTAAAAGATATCAGAATTTTGATTGATGTATTGATCAATATTCACTTGAGAGGACAAATGAAGAAACCTTTCTCCTCCTGGTAAAACTGTTATAGATTATCTATCTGGGACTACAGTCAAATGAGTTAAGTTTCTTCAATGGCACCTCTTCAATAGCATGGTCAAGAGATCTGTTTTGTTTCTTTGTTAAAAAAGAAAAGGAGTAGGGGGGAGGTTGGGAAATAACAGAGATAACTTTTTAAAGTACCAGTAAAATATTAGATAAAACAAAAAGTCCTTGGACTTGAGTCAGATGACCTAGATCCAAATCCCAGCTATTCCACTCAACATAGCTGGGTGACCTTAAGCTAATTAACTTCTCAGAGCTTCAATTTGCTGATCTGTACAATGAGCGGACTGGACTAGATGGTTTCCAAGGTCTATTCTGGCTTTTACATTTTGTGACTCTATAAGTGTTTTCTGTAGTTATTCATTAGAGAAAAAAAATCAATTCCTAATGAAAATATATAGTTTATAGACAATTCCATCCACATTTGCTGATGACACACATGATAATGTACTTTAAAAATCATGGAGAATCAGCAAAGAAAATGAGACAATTTCACTAAAGTAGCAGAAATCAACATAAAGTCACAAAAATGAAATGCATTTCTCTACAGTAATTTTAAAATCTAGGAGGAAATAAGACAAAGGCAAGTCTCATTCAAAATAACCAAGAAATGCATGAAATCTTGAACTCGATCTACCAAGACACATGAAGGACCTACACAGATACAGTTACAAAGTGCTCTTTAAAGAAATAAAGAATGACTCAAACAACTGCAGGAATATTCAGGGCTCATGGCTAGGCTGTGTCAATATAATAAAAATAACAATACTACCTATATCAACTTCTAGATTTAGAACTTTGCAACTACTAAGGCGTATTTTATAATGTTAGACAATATATTATTTGGAGAAACAAAAGATATAAAATATTAAATGAAATAATGAAAAAAGTAGGAATGCCAGGGCAATAGCACTTCCAGATTTCAAATTATATTGTAAAGCAGAAATAATCAAAACTATTTGGTACCAGTTTAAAAAATAGAAAAGTAGTACAATGGAAACTTACAAGATAAAGACGAATCAGAAATAACTGAAAATACTCTAGCATTCAATAAACTCAAGAACATATTACTTAGGGAAGAACTTCTTTTCTGACAAAATTTGTTGAGAAAACTAGAAAGTGGTTTGACAGAAATTAGATTAAGAGCAGTTCTTAACCCTAATCCATGAATTTAAAAAAATGACAACTATATTTCAATATAATTCATCTCTTTTGTAAATATACTTAGCATTTTAAAATACTCTTCTGAGGAGTCCATAGGCTTCACTAGACTGCCAAAGGAGCCCATGACACAAAAAAGGTTAAGATCCCCTGCTTTAGACAAACCTATTACATCATATACCACAATAAGTTTAAATTATACATGACTTGAATGTTAAAAGTCACACTATAAAAAAAACAGAAAACAAACATATTGTGTACTTTTAAAAACTATGGATGACTGAGCGAATTTTTAATCAAGCAAGGAATTGGGGCAATCACAAAAAAGATAATTTTATTAAATTACATTTAAAAAACTTTTATAAGGATAAAATTCATGTAACTAGGAAAGGAAGAAAAGTGGTTGAGTTGGAAAAAAATTTGTGTCAAATTTTTTTAAGAGCCTGATATCCAAATTATATTGGGAACTAACACAAATACACAACACCAAAAGTCATTTTCAAAGTTTTAAGTTTGCAGTTTCTAAAAATTGTAAGCCATCAATGACTACATGAAATACTGTTTCAAATTCCAAAAAATAAGAAAAATACAAATTAAAAGAATTCTTGAGCTTTCACCTCATACCAGGCAAAGATGAAAAAATATAGGAATACAGGTAAGTTGTTCAAATAATTAATCCTTTGGAGTGGTTGAACACTTGCATTTGCCTTATTCAAAGTTATAATTATGTAAAATATGGTAATTGGTTCCACACCCAATGGAAATAAGGATACAAATTTGAATAATGCTATAACCACTTCATGGGTCCCATAATCTGTGAAATGGTCCAACCACTCTGGAATGTTATTTAGAATTAACGTGAAAAAAAGAAATCAAAATGTGTATAACTTTTGACATACAGATATCAATGCTAGGCATATAACCCAAAGAAGTCAGTGACAGAAAAATAGGCCCATATAAAATCAAGCTATTTATAGTCATACTTTTTTTTTTTAGTAGCAAAGAATTAGAAACAAAGTAAATGTCCATTGCTTCAAGACTGCATAAACAAAAGTTGTGGTATGTATACAGTTGAATATAACTATACCGCAAAAAAAAAAAAAAAAAAAATCATGAAGAAAAACACTTATATGAACTGGAGCAGAGTGAAGTAAGCAAATACAGGACAACAATATATACAATGACTACAATAATATAAATGGAAAGAACAATAACAAAAAATCAAAATTAAATGCTATGGGATTATAATGACCAAGCTTGGCTCCTAAGAAGAGATGATGAGGTCCTTCCATTTCTCTTCTTTGCAAAGGTCAAAGACTTTAGATGTGGAACAACACTATATAAAATGTCAGACTTTGCTGATGTGTTTTGTTGAACTGTTTTTTTCCCCTTCTTTTCTTAAAATCCTTTTATAATGGATGGCTCTATGAAAGGCAGAAGAGAGAGGGAAATGTTGGGAAATGAAGGTGACAAAAAAACAAAGGATCAATTTTTTTTTTAATTTTAAAAAAGAAAATGAAGCTCATTTTCTCCAGATATAACAATAGCTCATCAGAAATCATAGCAAAACTCAAGCTGATAAAAGCACCCAGTCCTTCCTCTTTTCTGCAGCAGAGAGGCACAATAACTTAGAAGAAATAGCACTGTTTTTCCTCAAAACTTTTCATTAATTCCATCAAACAAAAGATCAAACTTTATAATAAAATGATCTTTTGTCTTATAAACAAAAGATTCAGAAGAAGAAAACAACTAGGTAAAAAACAATCAGGTAATTATTATGACTTCTCATTTTCCTATCCTTTAAAGACTTGTCAACAAGCCAATACCATGCATATTAGTTGCCAGGAAATCACAAACCACATTTTAACTATCCAGATTACCAGAAGTGGTAGTAAATCCACAACAAGTGCTCTTGGGTTTTACACAACAAACCTATTTTTCTTCAAAGGACAATAGCAAAAACTTTTGACGTAAGCTACATTATCATCATTGTAACACTTACTGGAGAAGTACAGAACATTCTTTACAGAACATTTCCAAAGATCATAACCCCTTTATTCCTCAAAAATTCATCAAGTATTTTTTGAGATCCCATTTTACAAAGAACTGTGCTGGGTCTTAGAACGTATTTTACTGTTGAGTCTTAAGTGGCTCTTGGAACTGGCAAGTTAGACTACCGGATGTATCAGAGATGCAGACAACTAATCTGCTCACTACAGACTTAAGAAAATGGAGGTTAAACAAAAAAGTTATTCAAATTTGTAATCATATTTCAAAATTCTATTCCTATTTGGGGGAGTGGGTGGAAATAGGTAGGTGGGATAGTGGATAGAATGCCAACCTGGAGTTGGGAAGGCTCATTTTCCCGAGTT